AAAGCAACAGTGTAAATAAATGAGCTTGGTTTTGAATGTGGAAAGGAAACAAAAGCAAGTAAGTGAATAGGTAATGAGGGTCAGAGAGGCCTCTTTGAAAAGGTGGCTCTAGCGCTGAGACCTGAAGGGTAAGAGGGAGGCAGCACAGTGACAATCTGGGAAAAAACCTTCCAGGCAGAGGGAACAACTGGCACAAAAGCCCCAAGCGAGGACCGACCTTGATGTGTTCAAAGAGCAGCCAGACGGCCAGTGTGGGTGGAGTGAGCAGAGGGAATGACAGAAGTAGTGGGAGGGGTGAGGAGTGAGGGGTCTGATCATGTTAGCTCCTTTGACCTTGGACGAGGAGTCACTCCCAAACTATTGTCTCCATTCCTAACCACTCCCTACTCCCAGAGAATAACCGTTTTGGACAACCAGGATGGCTTGGAGTGGGGTGTTTGCAAAGGAGATAGTGAACGTAAATATTTCAGCAATAAAACCAACAGCACTTGTCAACTGATTGGATGTGAGAGGTGAAAAAGAGAAAGCAAGTATAATTCCAGCTAGCCTCCCAGTTTTCCAGACGGGGAAACCGAGGCTCTGACGGTAGCAGTGACTTGCCCAAAGACACACAGCTATGAATCGCCTTGTGTATCACTATATTCCTGGTGGCAGCACGGGATCTGTCACACACGCAGCATATAATTGTCCATGTGAGAAGCAATCCGTGTCTAGATCTAAACCGCACAATTCGAAAGATTGGCCCCGAGCTTTGTTGATGGTGATTGCAAATGCCAATCGAATTGGGAATTGCAATCTCTTACATTGAAATGGCATATCTGTTGGAATCATAGGAATGCGAGGAATGAGGACATCTTCACCTTTGAAAGGTCCTGTCAAGATTGTTGCTTCTACAACGACTTTGCTCAGTAATTTTTTTACTGCAAGCCACGTGCCCTGTTGCAAAGCTTTGGCTGGTTGATATTTCGCAACATGATCATTGGTACGCCGATTTGCAATTGCAGTGCGTGCGGTAGCATCCCTGACAGATTGAGTGAATTCAAAAATTCTGTTGGATAATTAACCGCTTCATCTGCTTCCACAACAGTGTCGACGGACTTGTATGTGACTGCCTCGCTTTGAATGTTAGACTGAATAATATTAAGTTCGTAGACGTCTTTGTTCTTGGCCGCAGGAATAGCTCGTTCACTCAGCCAATCGTGATTCTTATCATTGGTGTGAATACT